CATCCAGAGGCAACGCCACCGCTCACTGTTCATCCAAACCCTCCTGCAACGCTCACTGTTCATCCCAGAGGCAGCATCGATCGGCTCCAATTAGCAGCAGTAGCGAAGGAATCGCTCGATCGGGTTCAGTTAACAGCCATCGATCGATCGCTCGGGTTCAGTAATGCGTAGCCTGCAGTGCAATCGCTCGGATTCAGTTAGAGACCAACACCTCGCTCGGGTTCAGTTAGAGCCAACGCCTCGCACACACGCGCGTACGTGTGTACGAGAGAAACGCGCATCGCTCGGCCCCCGACCTCCCACCGTAACCAGGAACTCCCCGAAATTTTCCTCGCCCTCGCTTCTACCACGGTTTTTTCTGTCATGGACGGCCCAAAAATGTCATGCAGTTGCGTCTCCGGCCCGCCTAGGACGAAAAGCCCATTTTCTGTCATGATTTTTTGTCATAAAAGTAGGAGCCCACCACATCTATGGTGATACCGGGTTTTGTCACAATTATCGTCATAGAAGTGTCATATGTATGACAATTTTTTTTCGTTCGACCCAAAATGTCACGGATGTGTCTTTTTTTGTAGTTCATTGGAGTATCTAGGTGACATTAGGGTTTTGGTTGATTTGTGTCTTAATGTGTTATTCTAGTACGAACTCTAGGGCTGTTTGTGACACCTATAGGAATAGCCCAGCGGATTGATTGGAAAGAATAACTTTGAGGTGGTTTCGTGCCTTACCATAATCTCTTCGTTTGTTCTACGCTATTAGTGATTTTAGAGTGACACTTTGTTGCATTTTGAGGGATAGTTTTATGATCCAATCATGTTATTATTGTTGAGAGAATTTGCACTAGTGAAAGTATGAACCCTAGGCCTTGTTTCCTAGCATTGCAATATCGTTTGTGCTCACTTTTATCATTAGTTACCTTGCTGTTTTTATATTTTCAGATTACAAAAACCATTATCTACCATCCATATACCACTTGTATCACCATCTCTTCGTCAAACTAGTGCACCTATACAATTTACCATTGTATTGGGTGTGTTGGGGACACAAGAGACTCTTTGTTATTTGGTTGCAGGGTTGCTTGAGAGAGACCATCTTCATCCTACGCCTCCTACGGATTGATAAACCTTAGTTCATCCACTTGAGGGAAATTTGCTACTGTCCTACAAACCTCTGCACTTGGAGGCCTAACAACGTCTACAAGAAGAAGGTTGTGTAGTATACATCAGCCCTTTGCTAAAAAGTTGCTTGCGAGAGTAATGCTTTCGAAGAAGACTCCATGAGCGCTTCTTCTATTCTTTCTCGTACAAGAGAGCTTGCCGAGAATAATTATGAAGCAGATTTAATTCAATCATCATCTCGAGCTTTCCTTCCTGTCGAGCTTGATGTGGCTTTCCAATGCTTGCCGAGTGCGAAGACAAATATCATATAATGAAGGATTTTCTTCATGAGGAATATCAACTCTTGCTTTCTTGAATTTCAGAACTTCAGCAGAAGTAGAAGCAGTAGCATCCACTGGCATCTTTCCTTTGCCGATATCTTTCACAATTCTGAGCATGTTGCGGACCGGAGGCATGAAGACTTTCGAAACATATGGGCAGGAAAAGTGTTCTCTAGTGAGATACTCGATTGCGTACATGACCCATGGTGCATAAGGCTTCAAGGCTTGAGGGCTGTCAGCTGCACATACCAAGTTAAGAATAAAAAGATCTGGGATATCAAAGCGAACACCCTAAGACATGGCAAGCAGTGCATTTCCAACAATGCCATTGATGGTTTCTGGCCTGTTGGTAGGAGTGAGGGAGTTGCACAGGATATATAATAGAACTTTATTCTCATAGGCCAACTTCTTTGGATTTACTTCAATGCATTCATCACCACCAAGTGTTGGATCCATCAACATGTGCAGTTGGGCCTCAGAAACTTCCCAGTAGTGCAGCATGTGTTCACTATTTGCATCAAATTCACATCGAGGCAGATTCAACAACACTAAGAACTGATCTGCCGAACATTTTATCTTTTCCTCTCTAGTCATCCATTCGAGGATCCATGTGAAACTATCTCCAAGTACTCCTGAGATATACAGAGTGGCATAGAATTGATGAATTACTTCATGATTCCATCCATGGTTGAAATGGAGAAAACCCTTCAGAAAAGCATGCTCAATATGATCGATTGCATGATGGAAGCAAGGTAATTCTTTGAGCTCAACAAAGTTTAAAATCTGGTGCTTGAAGATGCGATTCTTTTTGTATAAAATTCGAGCATAATACACAACTTGTTCTTTAGTCCAAAACCTTGGCGACAGTGAAGTTCTCTCTCCTTCATACGGACTAGTCCCAAAGAAAGCAAGTTTCGAGAGGTGAAATTGCTCGTTAAACGCAGAACCATTTGGGGCACCTTCAGCTGGGAGCAACAGAAGTGTTTCCAAATGATTTTTCAGTTGTTCTTAGCTCACATTCCCTGTCCGAATGTCATCTGGTGCTTGCACATCTTCTGCAATAAGCTTCAGTGGGGCACAAAGCTTTCTTGATTTCTCTTGGGCTTCAGTGGGGCACCAATAGCGGGACCTGGATGCCCATATTGTTTCCAACATATTCCACGGAGATCTTTATCAGTTGAACCACGATGTCGAGGATTCAGATAATCCCATATGCAATTCCCTTTGTCTACCAATACGTCGGTATCTCCATACGTAGTTCAATCTCATTACTGGCAAGTCTCTTTACTCGTTCCGTAATACAATATCCCGTGACTAACTCATTAGTCACATGAAGCTTCTTGTGATGTTGTATTACCGAGAGGGCCCGGAGATATCTCTCCGTCACCCAAAGCTACAAATCTCAATCTCGATCCATGCAACCCAACAGTCATCTTCAGAGATACTTGTAGAGTACCTTTATGATCACCCAGTTACGAAGTGACGTTTTATAGCACACAAAGTATTCCTCAGGTGTCCGGGAGTGGCATGATCTCATGGTCCGAGGAATTGATACTTGACATGAAGAAAACTATAGTAAACAAATAAGCGATACAATCTGTTGCTAAGCTTACGGTTGGGTCTGTCCATCACATCATTCTCCTAATGATGTGATTCCGTTATCAAATGAAAACTCATGTCTATAGTTAGGAAACATTAACCATTTTTGATCAACGAGCTAGTCCACTATAGGCCTATTAGGGATACAGTGTTGTTTATGTATTCTCACATGTATATGTGTTTCTGGTCGATACAATTCTAGCATGAACAATAAACATTTATTATAAATAAGAAAATATGATAATAACCAACTTATTATTGCCTCTAGGGCATATTTCTGTCAGTTCTCACTTGCACTACAATCAGTAATCTAGTTTACATTGTAATGTATCTAACACTCATAGAGTTCTGGTGCTGGTCATGTTTTGCTCGTGGAAGAGGTCTAGTCAATGGGTCTACTATATTCAGAACCGTATGTACTTTGTAAATATATATGTCTCGATCCTTAATATGATTATGTATGGAACTGAAGAGCTTAATGTGTTTGGTCTTCTTGTGAAATCAGTAATCTAGTTTACAATCGCAATGGCGCCAGTGTTGTCACAATGGATAGTCATCGCATCCAATACAGACCCGCGTATGTGGAATTGATGGTGCATGATTGTTTCAAAACCGTTGAATCTGACATGCGTGCCCAACCAAACCCATAAGTGTCTCGATGGGTACCGTCGCCAGGATACAGTCATGGTCAATGTTGACGCCGCACTTTTCCAGTCTTCACGGCGAATTCGAGTCTGCTTGGTGATCCGGAACCACAATAATACATGCATATTGGTTTGTCGTGAGCACATTGAGGAGGTCGCACCACTGGAATTAGCCGAGGCACTGGTGCTCCATCGCGTGGTCGATCTCACTCGTCAAAAAGAGTTCCAGAAGGCCATCTTTACTTCAGATTGTCTCTCCATAATTGAGATGATTCGTTCTCAAAAGGCGAACCGCTCGAGCATTGGAACCATAGTCTCGGATATCAAGGTTTTGCGTGGGTACCTTCTCATCTAGTCTCTTCAGTCATGCTAATTGTTTATCGAATGCCGCGGCTCATAGTTTAGCACATTTGTGTGTTTCTTTCTTCTCATGATTCTATCGTGCGCAATGTAACTTTGAGGAGTATCCGGGAAACTCCTTTTAATGATTTTTGATCAATAAAGAGTGGTATTTCCCCCCCTAAAAAAGAGTGTATTTTTTTTCTTAAAAAGAAACACATCTCGCAATTGTATCGAGCCTACCCTAAATTATTCAGATGGTGCTGTAATAGGTTTGCTAGTACATGCTCCAGCGAAGAAGTGCGTGTGTTCGAAAAAAGAAAGCCCAAAGAAGTGCGTGCTGTAATAAAAGAGAAAAGAGAAACAGAAAACAAAAACCAAGTGGGTGTCCACCGCTGGATCATTCATGGGCGGCCCGCGCCCCGTCAAACGTCCGTCGGCCGCTGCGCCTCCACTCGAACAGATATTTTCCCCAAGGGCAGCGCCGTCTTTTCCCCGTGACCGGCCGCGGCGCACATTTACGAATTTCAAATTTTGAATCGCGTCGGCGAGACCGGGGCCAACGTTCCCTTGCCGTCCCGCAGCATCCATCCTCCCCGACGCCCCCACGCTCCACTCCACCGATCCCCCACACCCGGCCCCCAGTGACACGCGGGCCACGCCCACGCACCCGACAATCCGGGCCCACATGTCCGCGAGCCGTCGCCGCGGCCCACCCTCGCGCGCGCACCAACCAGAGGCCGGCCAGGCTGGCGGCGTGGGCCACCGCCGCGGCCCGCCCGCCTAACGCCAGCGGAACGGCCGTTAGGTTAACCGGGGGCCGCCTATAAAGGGGCCGAGGGGGCCGAGCGGAGGAGCCACTACACATCCGGCGTCTTCACAAACGCCGGCTCGCTCTCGCTCCGTCTCCCTCCCTCCTCCCCCGCTCCGCGCCCTCCGCCGCCAGATCCCGTCGAGCCCCCCGCGCCCCCGCGTCGAAGATGAGGGAGTGCATCTCGATCCACATCGGGCAGGCCGGCATCCAGGTCGGCAACGCGTGCTGGGAACTTTACTGCCTCGAGCACGGCATCCAGGTTCGCCATACCCCATCTCATCCCATCTCTCGCCCCTCCTCATGTCGAATTCGTATGCGGTTGCTCCGATGGTGTCGATTGGTTGGAGAAGGTTTCCCGTAGCGGGGCCTCTGGATCTGGGCTGCGATTCGGGTTGTGCTGCGAAATGTTTTGCGGTTCAGTTGTCAGATCTTCTCTGGTTTGGAATATTTAGGCTGTAATTGATGCGGGATTTGAACTGTGACGGGATTACTCGATTACCTTCCCCTGTAGGTCTAGTTGTTTTCACGCGGGAATGCGGCAATTAGTGTTCGATCTGCGCGACCCTTCTGAATTCGTCAGGAACATCAACTGTTCGTACTTCCTAATTTAAGCCTGCGATCTGTGATGCTTAGTCGTTTCGTTTTGTATTTTAGATCTGATATGCAATTGGAGTCCTAGGATCGTGCTTTTCAGGAGACACGAATACACCTCTGTACTAGTTTAGTTTCCACTTTTGTGTGAAATCTCAGATCTAGTTAGGCCATGATCATGCTTTACTTGGTCAGTTTTGATGTGTTGTGATATTATGGTCTGCATCCAACTGAACACCTCACTGTTCCCTGCTGCAGCCTGATGGCCAGACGAACGGCGACAAGACCATCGGAGGTGGTGATGACGCCTTCAACACCTTCTTCAGCGAGACCGGAGCCGGCAAGTACGTGCCCCGTGCGGTCTTCGTCGATCTTGAGCCCACCGTGATTGACGAGGTCCGCACCAGCGCCTACCGCCAGCTCTTCCACCCCGAGCAGCTCATCAGCGGCAAGGAGGACGCCGCCAACAACTTCGCCCGTGGTCACTACACAAGTAATTAATTCCCCCAAAACCTCACTGCTTCATTACAATCAGCACTGATCTCTCAACCATGTTTGATTTGCTCATGGTGCCTTGTTTGCTCTTGTCCCCTGCAGTTGGCAAGGAGATTGTGGATCTCTGCCTCGACCGCATCCGCAAGCTGGCCGACAACTGCACTGGCCTGCAGGGCTTCCTGGTCTTCAACGCCGTTGGTGGTGGAACCGGGTCTGGGCTTGGGTCGCTCCTCCTTGAGCGCCTGTCCGTGGACTATGGAAAGAAGTCCAAGCTCGGGTTCACCGTGTACCCATCCCCTCAGGTGTCGACCTCTGTGGTCGAGCCCTACAACAGTGTGCTGTCCACCCACTCCCTGCTGGAGCACACCGATGTCTCCATCCTGCTCGACAACGAGGCCATCTACGACATCTGCAGGCGCTCCCTGGACATCGAGAGGCCCACCTACACCAACCTGAACCGCCTCGTCTCTCAGGTACTGATCACCTGACATTGTCAAAGTCTTTCATCTGGATCGAAGCATTTCATTGCTGTGCCTGTATTAGTACTGTTGTGCAATGTGTGATGTGAAGCTGAGACTTGGAACTTGTGCTGTTTGTCTGTGTGTAGGTGATCTCATCCCTGACCACCTCCCTGAGGTTCGACGGTGCCCTGAACGTGGATGTGACTGAGTTCCAGACCAACCTGGTCCCATACCCGAGGATCCACTTCATGCTCTCGTCCTATGCGCCGGTCATCTCGGCCGAGAAGGCGTACCACGAGCAGCTGTCGGTGTCTGAGATCACCAACAGCGCGTTCGAGCCGTCGTCCATGATGGCCAAGTGCGACCCGCGCCACGGCAAGTACATGGCGTGCTGCCTCATGTACCGGGGCGACGTGGTGCCCAAGGACGTGAACGCGGCGGTGGCCACCATCAAGACCAAGCGCACCATCCAGTTCGTGGACTGGTGCCCCACGGGGTTCAAGTGCGGCATCAACTACCAGCCGCCCACCGTGGTGCCTGGCGGCGACCTGGCCAAGGTGCAGAGGGCCGTCTGCATGATCTCCAACTCCACCAGCGTCGTCGAGGTCTTCTCCCGCATCGACCACAAGTTCGACCTCATGTACGCCAAGCGCGCCTTCGTGCACTGGTATGTGGGCGAGGGCATGGAGGAGGGCGAGTTCTCCGAGGCCCGTGAGGACCTGGCTGCCCTGGAGAAGGACTACGAGGAGGTCGGCGCTGAGGGTGGCGACGATGAGGATGGCGAGGAGGACGACGACTACTGATCTGCTCGTTCGCTCGACGGAGGATCCGTCTCCTCTGCCGCCTATCTTTAACTACATGTTGCCGTGCTGTCCTGTTTTGGAAACTTGTGTTGGGTTGTTAAGCCGTCGGTGCTTTCTTTGTCGCTGTTGAACTGCATCATTAGTACTTCGTGGAACAAGTATCTCGCTTAATTTGTTCTGTCCTGCCCGGTCCTGTCTTTGCTCTTGGTGATCGGATCATATTTAGTAGCTGAATTTGATTAGCCCGGACGGTGGTCGAGATTCTCCCCGCGCGAACGGACCACCGGCGGTGATTATGTTGATGGGTGTGGACTGCAGTCGGGGCAAGTTGCAAGCAATCCGTTGGGGTGGATGGACGCGTTCGTTAGTCCTGATTCTTCTTCTCTTTCTCGTCCTGTTTCCATCCATCGGAGAAGGGGCCAAGTTCTAGTCGGAATAGTAGTTTAGGGCCCTTCAGAAGCAATTATGCAGACCAATCTCGACAGGGAAAATAATACCCAGACGAGCATTGCCCCAAAGAATCACTCGTAAGATGTTGGATTCTTCATTCATCATGGAGCTAAATAATGTTGATTCACCCGTTCAAGTAAGAATAAATGTACGGTGTAAATCCTCTCTGTTTGGAACTTCTGAATTTATTTATTCATCAGTACTGAATGAGTCTGCCTTGTTTATGCAGCAACCAGAGGAGGAAGACAGACTCAGCGCGCTGACTGATGATATTTTGCTGTCTATCATAACCAGAATCGACCTAATTACAGCTGCAAGGACAAGTGTGCTCTCAACACGATGGAGACTTCTCCCTTGGTTGCTGCCTGAGCTCAACATTGATGTCAAGGATTTCCTGCCTGTTCCTCACCCGGACCCAATCGATGCAAATGACATGCATGACGCGATGGTGACCCTAACCAAAGCAGTCAGGAGCTTCTTTGATAAGCCTCGGAGAGAATCAACCCTCACAAACCTGCAGCTCAAGATCTACTCGATCACCACCTTCTCAAGCGACATCGGCCCGCTAGTGTGCGGCGCGATTGACAGCGGCTTACTGAAAGATTTGGACCTTGCGATCCTCGATGAGACGAAGCCGCGCGACTGTGATGATCCTCATATGCTACGGCTTGCCAACGACACGGATCATTTCTTCAATGCCTACCCTAGTGTGTTCCATTGCCTCACAAGGCTTTCTCTCCACAATGTGTGCTTTTACAAGTTGGACATGCACCATCTCCTGTTTGACCGTTGCACACAATTGAAGTATCTAAGACTCTTTCATTGTGACGCTGGTCGTGGCTTTCTGTCGAAGATAGATGCACCAAACTCAGAACTCCGTGTTCTGGACCTCGACACGTGTTGCTTTGGGAGGCTTGAGCTGGTCTGCCTTCCGAAACTGGAGAAACTTCATTGGGATACTTGGGAATCTGAAGACGCGCCCTTGTCTTTTGATTCTGTTCCCTCTCTCCGCGAATTACACCTTGCAAATGGGCCCGAACTTCATCAGAATGTGATTAAATTAAGTGAACTTCTACGTGGCACCATGGGCATACATACTCTAACACTGGATTTTATGGGAGAAAATGTAAGTGCTAGTTGAAGTTTTCTATTCGCCATGTTTTCACAGTTATCCTAGTGACATCGTAGATCTGTTTCTTTGTATAGGTAATGACATGGCTGTGTTTGGTAATTCCCATTCTGCATGTGTGTGTGTGTGTTTGAGTTTTCTGTACGAGTAATTTCGTGGAACTACAAACCTATCAGGCAGAAACTATTATGAAAACAAAACCTTTGGTATAAGCTTTTGGACAACTACGCATAGGTTGGCAAATGCGTAGAAAGCTACATTTTAATGAAACCCTGCCCTCGGACAATTATTGTATTTTATTTTGGTACATTCACAATTGAAGTGTGACTTTTTTTTTGAATAAAAAGGCAGATCATTTTCTACCTTATGCATTCAAAACGAGTAGGGTACCCGAATGACCAGAGTCATTTACATGAAAGTGATGTTAACGCCGCACACTTTGTGCAGCAGGCCATCACCAAAGTGTGACTTTTTCAAAAAAGAATGTGTCCCAATTGATTCAATCATTTCTTAGAATGGAGCTCTCTCACCAAGTACATTTTGCCAACATGTCAGTGATTTTGTACTTCTGTGACATATTTTTTAACTATGTAGATTTGCGTTTGCGCATCCTATGAAATTTAATCCAAATTTATTTATCTTTGGCCAGCTTTGGATGCAACCTGAAATGAAGGAACTCAGCTCTGCATTCAGCAAGCTAAGGATGCTGTCCATACTAGGTATCTTTATTGAATTCGACCTTATATGGACGACAGCCCTTCTTGAGGCAGCCCCCTCTGTTGAAATATTACAAATTCAGGTGAGTTGTGCCGTTCTGACTTAAGAACGTTTTACCAGCTTCAGTAATGAATATGTTTTTCCCATTTTAAAATACTTTTATGATCTTCGTAATCTCATATTCAACTTGTATGTTATGCTGTTTTTTCTTGCATTCTATACATTGAACTGCCGCTGAACCTGAAAATTTAAACTACAAGCCTATATCGATATAACTATTCCTAATGCAAATGCAGGTATACGACCATTTATGCGATATCGATGGCCAGGTCAGACTGCGGTCCTTCCCTGAAAGAAGGAGCCCTCAGTGGGAGATGGACTGCCGCGGCTCCAAGAACCTTCTACTGAGAGAGCTCCAAATTATTTGGTTTAAGCCGCTAAAGCAGCAGCTGGCATTCACAAGGGCTATGCTGGAGCGAGCACCCAATTTGCAGAAAATAATTTTGAGAGATGAGTCATGTGAGGCATGTGATGACCTTGGGCAGCCGCCGCCTTGTTCTTGTGCAGAGCGTCTTTTTCCAGAGAGCAAGGATGAGCAGGAAAGGGTGGTCAGGCGAATTACAGATGGTGCGATCTTCTCAGGCCAAGTAATTTTTGAGGATCGTAAGAAGCTGTAGATAGATACCTGCTTTCTGATGGCTTGCTATATTCAGAGGCAAATTGTTGCCATGTTTAAGAAGTTGTCGAAAAAAATGAATGCTCACTGTAGTTGCAGATGGCTTGTTAATTTGTGTTGAACGATTATTAATAAAATGCAAGCCAATCCTCTGCTATTTTTATCTCTCTTGATAATCTGTGCCCTGTAAGGTGTCTCCTTAGAAACAGCATCATACTGGACTTTCTTAACTCAATGATACTTCTAACAATAGGTTCTGCCAGCGCGTTTAAACTTGTTGTATCAACGTGGTGGTTGCTTTATAAGTATTATTTATAAAGCGAGAAGTGAGCTTGTTTCATTATTAAATGGACTCCGCCATATTTTGGATTCACACATTGTCCTGACATTTGTCCAGAACTCCAGATGATCTTCAGAAGATGGCTGCAGCAACTGATAAAAGGAGCAAGTCTAGTTGATTTCGATGCTTTTATGTACCTATAATCACCTTTCGTACTTCATTCTTGTACCAGTTGTCATCACGGCTGATCCTCGCAGAGATAATGTCGAGCAACTTCGTGACTATGCTCTATGGCACGTTCTCCATGCACTTTACATCGCTTGATGATCTCTACAGTTCATTCTGACATTCGTAGTTTTCCATCCCTTGAAGTTTATTGTATCTGTCCTAGATAGTGCTGGAGGCCTGGAGTCACAACATGCTTTGAACAATCTCAAGTGCTCTTGGTTGGCCTCACATTTCGAACTTGATTGAGCAAGGACAAGAAGTGTCACACTGAAGGTAAGAGCAGGTTACCATGTTTGTGTTTGCTTTTATGTCAGTACAACTTCTATTGACAGGTTGTTGATTTTCTTGCTGTCTCGAGTCAAACTGGCCTAGTCTGTTTATTTGGAACTTGTTTCAGCTGCTGATGGGGAAATTTAGAACACCGGCATTCTGAACTTGTTGCAGCTTATGATGGAGCAAAGCTAAGATTGAGAACATTGATGTATTAGCTCTCATCCTTTTTAGTGGCTAACTGCCACCTACACAAATACTTCCTCCGTCCCAAAATATAAGAACATTTTTCATACTAAGTAAGTAAAAGAATTTCAGCATTTGTTTTTTCAAGCGCTTCCATTATCCATGTGATGTGTTGAGCTGGGCCACGACTGAGTAGTGCCTGCCCCTGCCCAACTTCACATAAACTTGTTTTCCCTTTTGTAAATGTGTAAGTAGTGTTGAAGAACAGATATCTGTGTCATTTGCATTGCACGTAGATCTGGAGTAGTACATAGTTATACCTTTTACACGTGCATGCTTAGGAATAATGACGAGGATCAAAGCCATTAAATAAGATGTACAATGCTGTATCGTGAATGTATGATCAGCGTCAGAGGATTCTATCATCTCCTTGATTTCCTGACTATGTCTGTTATGAATTTCTCATGTAATATCATTTTCTCTGACCAGTCTTCTAGAGGTGGAGAATTGAGTAAGTGCTCTAAAGAAAGAACCATCGGTACCCACTGCAGCCATTGGCGGGCCATTCAAGCTTCTGCATAACGAAAACTTACGACCGGAAAGGACTTCTCCGTGGACGTTTGAGGGATAATATTGGATGGCAAAAAGTGTCTGAACTCTCGCAAAGGACATATACGGTCGATTTGAGGGTCTGTGTCAGAGATGCCCTGACAACCATATCATCATACTCCCTCCGTTTCAAAATAAGTGTCTTGAGCTTAGTATAAATTTGTACTAGAGCTAGTACAAAGTTGAGACACTTATTTTGGAACGGAGGGAGTATATGTTACTTCCACTGTGGATGGATTTAGCAAAACTTATTTATCTAAAAAATCTAAAATTTGTAAAATTAAAGTATGTGTGCCCCGTTATAACACGCGAGCACTTATCTAGTAAGAGCATCTCCAACGTTGTGCATCAAAAAGGACACATCAAACGTCCATCGACATGTTCGGACGTCTCCACAAACAGTAGATAGGGGACGGCCATCCGACCCGATGCACCAAATGTTTGCCCCATTTTCTTAAAAAAGAAATAGACCAACACATAGATCAACACTGATGCTTGTGAAACGAAGAATGCACATGTTGGCAAAATATTGTGCCCTTTTGCTTCATGCCTACAAACCCCATATTTGTGGCCAACCACAAAATATTATGCGCTTTTGCTTCATGCCTACAAACCCCATACTTGTGGCCAACCATGCGCTGCACAGCAATGCATCCTTCTCTCACTGAGTACTCCCCCACCCCCTCAATCATGCTTGCTTCATGTTAAGAAGAAAAAAGTCAAAAAAATAATCTCAATGACATTTGACCGAACACTTACCGACGTGGTGTCCATCATGGATGGCGTCAACAGAAGGCAGACGATACCTGGGTTGCGGACGGATCAGGGTGTAACGGGGGAGGGCTCCGAAGGGGGGGTTTGGATGGGCTGGGTGTGTCGAAGTCCAATGTGGCAGGCGTCTGGACTCTCTCAAACCTCCCACAAGTTTGTTTCCAGTTTGAAAAAATTCAAATGTACGAACTGGTTTGAAGACGTTTGATGCACCGCGGTGCATGACAAAAAGCGTCCAGATCATGTTGTCGGCGTATTTAGGAGCGTTTTGATGCACTGTGGTTCATGGCAAAAGTGTCCTGACCAACTAAACGTTCCTGCATCGGATCCACACACACAACTCACGAAACAAGCAAGTTTAAACATCGTGCTCATGTATGTGAGCGATTTTGATTATAGTGTGTTAAAAAAAAGTTAAAACACAACAACGCGGGCAGTGGATCTGTGGCCGCAAAAGAAACCATGATCTATACTACATCACCATCCGTTCCGCCCCAACCCAACGAAGGAGCTGACGCCGACGAGACGCTGTTGTCCGCACAAGTTTCCATCGTCGACATCTGGTTCCGGTGCATTCTCTCTCGCCCTTGTCATTTCGCTTCCCAACTTGAAAGTTTTGCCTGCACACACACACACGAGATAGCCGTCGGTTCTTGGCTTCTTGCGTGCCGCCGTTGATCGCCATGGCCCGGCGGCGGGTCCGGACGTGGGCTGCAGCCGTCGCCACGGGTGTGCTCGTCGTCGTCGTCGCTACTGCTTCTGCTGCGGCGGCGGCGGGGGCCGAGGAGAAGCTGATGGTGGAAATGACCCTCGTCCCGGGCGCCGCGTCGACGGGAGCAGTCAAGTCCACGTCCCCTTGAACATATCCTCTTTTCTCCTCCAGCCGGCGGCATATTGTCTATGATGTGCAGTTGCATTACGGAGTACCAATGGTGGCGTGGCGTCTGTGTTCCACTGCAGTGTGCCTCGACGGGAGCCCGCCGGCGTACCACCTCCACCAGGGCTCCGGCGCCGGCGCTCGCGGCTGGCTGCTCCAGTTCGAGGGCGGCGGTTGGTGCAACGACGCGCGGTCGTGCGCCCAGAGAGCCCGCACTTCACTAGGTTCCAGCAGCCTCATGAACAAGCTCGACACGTTCTCCGGATTGCTCAGCAACGATCCCGCCATGAACCCTGGTACCTCAACAGCTCAATCCCTGAATTGTTTTTCATTCAGCAACAAAGAAAACGAACACACACTTCAGAGTTCTTCAGTTACATGCGTGCACCAAACGGTCACAATAATCCGGTAGGTAGCACTACCAACAACCAAGCTAGCTAGGTCCATGGTGAATTCAAGCTAACGGTCCTGCAAGGATTGATTATTAGCCCACATCTGCATCAGTTTTTTCAGGCCACTTACAAGGCCCAAAAATTAAAAGCTCATCAAGTCTTGTCAATATTAGAATTTTTTTGATACGGCCTTGGCCAACAATTCGAGCAGATTTTTACAATTGGAATCGAGTGAAAATGCGATACTGCGATGGCGGCTCCTTCACAGGCAATTCAGAGTTCAGAAATGGTGTAAGTATGCTACCATTGTTTCTTGTTGCTGCATGGGTTCAACAGAAGTTTGCTGCTCAGTGCTTGCCTCTACATATGCAGTCTTCAGTCATCTACATGAGAGGCCAGAGGATATGGGATGCAATCATCACAGATCTCTTCCAGAAAGGCCTTGCGAAAGCCGAAAAGGTCCACCAGATCTCATCACTGATAACCTCTATATATACTTTCTGCATATTAGTTTTACTCCTCTCTGGCTAGACAACAATTAAGCCGGCCATGGTTTTGAGCAAGTTCTGAATCCTTCAGGTGCTGCTCTCAGGCTGCTCAGCAGGAGGTCTAGCTACATTCTTCCACTGCGACGACCTCGAGGAGCGTCTCCGAGGCACTGCCATGGTGAAATGCATGAGCGATGCCAGGGTTTTTCCTTGATGTGTAAGTTGGAGCAAATCAAGAAAGAAAGAAAAATACTTCTGGGATGTCAACTCTTTTTGTCAAATGTGTTGAAAGGGTTTGGTGTCATTTTGCAGGGACGATATTTCCGGCCGCAACACCGTCAGGTCTTTCTTCAACGGGGTAGTCGATTTCCAGGTCTTTTTTCACTAGCAAAATCCCTCTTCCGGTCTTCCCACGGTAAACTGGGAATATCTCTATGATGCCTTGGACCTTCTTGTTTTGAAATACTTCTTGCAATTTTTCAACTTTCATCTAGGGGGTTCAGAAGAATTTGAACAAAAACTGTTCGGATTCAACAGTAAAATCTTATCAGGTGAAGACTCTTTGGATTCCTATACTCTTCCTTGCTAGTAGATCCTTGCTAGTAGAACCAAACCGCATTTTTACACAGCGCTTGTGCTAAACCATGCATAACTTTCCCACCCTTTGTGTGCAGTGCTTCTTCCCGCAATATGCGCTTCGGAGCATCAGAGCCCCCTATTTCATCTTGAATTCAGCTTACGACGTATATCAGGTAAAACAAGACATGATACTACCGTATAATTTTTTTCAGCATCCGATCACTGGTAACTACACATGCTTAACATTTTTTGGACAGTTTTTCCAAAATTTTGTGCCCCGTTCGTCTGATCCTAGAGGTCAATGGAGTCGCTGTAAAGCGGCCCTTAGTGCATGCAGCTCATCCCAAATTGCAACTCTCCAAGGTTACACTTTTGTGCTTTACACGGATCTGGAGTGAAGTCTGTTTTAAACCCTGATTTCATAGAGTGTGACATTAATGAACTCTCACGTCTAAATCCCTGAAATTTGCACCCTATACTTCTTAATCCCAGTCAATCTAAACCCTAGACTGATCCTATACTTGTTTGGAAGGACAATTCTGATCGGGATCGGTTGTTTCTCTCACGTACTACACGGGCCTACATGTCATATTTTATCTTCTTCCTCAATCTCCCCTACTCTCTCCTAAGCGTCCATCTTCTTCCTGGAATAGCAAGTATGGCGAGCACGGCCACGAGGTCAGCGCGTGGAGCTGCGCATTTAGGACGCCGGAACCCGATCTCGACGGCGCCCTGGAGATCTTTCATTTGGCGGACCGTCAGTTTTTCCAGAGATCCTTGACCTGCGGCTTCACCTCCGCACGAGCGCGAGGAAAACAACAGATGCCGTCACCTCCCCGCTCGTGGTTGCTGATGCGTCATTCCTTTGTCTGCGTCGGTTGCACGCGGCCTCCCCTCCGTCCGCCTCGCCGCCCCTGCGGCAGGGTTGGGCACGGCGTGCGGCTCTCGGCCAACGCGCCCAGAACGAGCAAAGGTACGTCTGCACGGCCGCACGCGAGTCAGTCGACCCAAATCATGATGCGCGCATCAGGGTCGTCCTCGAGTACGCTGGGTGCGTTGGCCTCACCGTCGACTTGGACGAGCTGGATTTGCTAGTATGTTGCGGCTGTCCGCGCACACTACATCTCGGGTGCATGCGTTGCTTGTTTGTTTCCAGCAAAGAATCGATCAAGGCAGGGGGCGGCCTACGTCATGTACGTGGCTGCGTGCGCATCTTGCTTGGAAATAATCAAGATAGCTCCAGATTGTGTAGAACTTCGAGCGTTGGTTGTTGAGAAAGACAGAGAGATTAGAAGATAGAAGGTGAAGACATATGGACCCGGGTGGTCAGTGACTGTGGCGAGTGATCTCGGCCGGGATAATTATTTTCCCGGTGCGCCAAACGGATTCAAGGTTTGATTTGATCGGGATCGAGGAGTATAGGGTATCAACTTCAGGGATTTAGATGTGAGGGTTCATTTGCGTCTCACTCTACGAAATCAGGGTTTAAAATAGACTTCACTCTACGGATCTGTGAAATGTACATTAAACCAACGGGCGCAAGCTTCTTGATTTAGTTATTGCCTTAAGGCAATCCAACCAAGTTGTTGTCTTACATATATATTCTCTTAAAAGAAGATCCTTGATTTAAGTTGCTGCCTTGAGGACATTTCTGAACTCGTCTCCAGGCCTGAGAAGCGCAATGTTAATGGCTCTGAAACCGTTCGAAGGCGAATCGAAGGTGGGGATGTTCATCAATTCTTGCTTTTCACATTGCCAGAGCGAGTCCCAGGACACATGGTTTGCACCAAATTCCCCAAGACTACATGACAAGGTAGTAGTACTAATAAATATTTACTCCTGTAAGAATAAGCTGTACTTGTGTATGTGGGCTTCTAACAATGGGTAGTGTTTGCACTAAAATCTTTTTGTTTCAGACAATTGCGAAGCTGGTTGGTGATTGGTTCTTTGAAAGGGGTGCCGCCCAAGAAGTTGACTGCCCCTATCCTTGTGACTCGACTTGTCACAACATTATACCATTTTAATTAGGTTAGGCCACTGAGTTTTAGGGTTTATGCATTGGTCAGTGGCTAGAAATTCTATACGAAATTCATAGATATGCATCGTGTTAAAACTTGTGCACTTGTAACTCATGAGATAGTATGATCAAATGTCTTATGACAAAGAAAGCACATTACTACGGAACACATGAGCGTTGACGTGTCAAAACCCGTCACCGTTGATGGGTGCCGACAGTCTAGCTTCGGCTTCTTGGCTTGCTTCTCTGTAGTCGAGCTTGCGCTCCAAGACATGGCTGACGATGGATTTTTGCCATTGAAACATGTGTTGTCGCCCTAAAAAAAGGAAAAGTTGTTTCATCAAACAAGGTAGAGATCAGAATGGCAGGAAATGTGCAGAAGGCCACCTATATAAGGGCTATCCGCTAATTACAACTCTAGTTATAGCCTATAATTTATTCAACAAATTTTTAACAGTTTGTCTTTGACACATGAAGAAGAAAAAGGAAAAATAAGAAAAAAACTGCTTTCATTGAGAGTTGAACTCAAGACCTCCTGCTTACTAAACGGGTGCTCTAACCAACTGAGCTATGAAAGCTTTTGTTACAAAATTAATTATTTACTTAGACAACCTATAAAGCTTTTGCTAGATCTAATTATATCAATTCGGCATTGAGAATGTTGAGACTTTAGGAGTACATTCTAAGAGCTTGAGGTAGACAACATCATCGAAAGTTGTAGGTAGGGGTCACCATTGATGTTCCACTCATGGCCAAGGGGCTAGCTCTGAAATGAACTCAAACATTACTCATCCTAATAGATATGTCATAAATCGCCAAAAACAAATTAAGGGAATCTAAGAGATGCACTTTTAGTTACTTTGGCAACTTCGGAAGTCAAAATGAGTCCTTGGTTCTGGCCATGCTAGGGAGAGAATCAAAATCAACACAATCAAGTAGGCTTTGATTAATGTCGATGCCAGCTATGTGGAGAGATTAATGCGGCCAGTGTGGGGGTGGTTGTTAGGAACTCATCTGGCAAAGTTATTATATCTTCGTGGGACTTTCTGGGTCAATACTACAGCGTGAATGAAGCTGAGCTGCGTACTTGCCTGGCAGGCCTTTATATAGGTATTACTCTTCACCAGTCCATTATTTTGAAGACTGATTGTGCTTTTGTCCGTTCTTTTCTTGCAAATGAGAATCTTGACAGGTCCTCGCTCGTTGATATGAAGAAAGAAGCCTTGAGTATATCGAAGATGCTTAAGAATTTTAAAATTGCGAAAATTAATCGGAATGTCAATAAGGTGGCTCATGAAATTGCGAAGTTGAGCTTTATAAGTAAATCTGATGGGATTCTTCTTAATAGCGTTTCGCCCTGTGTGGCGAATTTTGTAATGAAATGTTGTAATAACATTATATTAATTAATTGACGTATGGGGGTTTTTCAAAAAAAAAAGTAGGCTTTGATTAGGCCATTTGTAGAAGGTGTAGGATTTTCAAACAAGAGGAACGAACGACGGTCCTTTAGCCTGGCATCATGAACACCTCACCAACGGCGAGGTCCACCTGTGGGCTGAGATGATCGGTACAATGCATTGATAAAACCACTTGCGTACAAACTGCAAAGGCCATATTTTTTTTTGAAGAAACAGTACACTCTTGGTACACACGGAGAAAAACGAAAAACAAAAGGACTGTGATATTTGGCACATGTGTGCCATATAAGCAAAACTGCCACACCTCTACTTCTTTCACTTTAAAGTACCACACGGTCCCTCTTCCTTCGACCCCACCTTTTCCCGAACGACCTTGCAGACTCGCCGGAGAAATCTGCTTCTCCCGCACATCTCGCGCGCCCGCCCTCGAGAAAACTGCCACTTCTTCATGTTTACCACATGATAAAAAAATATTGCGCATGTGGGATTTGAACCCACACCTCCTTGGCACCAAAGCGCGCCACCACAACAACCTCACCCTTAGGTATTTGTTGCTCAAACTAAAGAAACTAATCGTTTTGATGTTTTTTTTACAATTGTGTTACTACAAAAAAGTACAAAAAATTACTACTATTTTCCCTCGAGACAAAGTTACCATGGTATTCGCATGCAAGTTATCAGACCTGTGTTGCGTAAGTTACCGTGCTATTTACATAGAACTTACCAGGTACTATGTTTCAACAACTACACCCCTTTCAAAGTTACCACTGTGTTATAAGGTCTTCGATGTGTAAAATATTGTGGTACTTACACATAAGTTATTAGGGTATGTGTACATCAACCTCGTCCTTGGTCAAAGTTACCATGGGGGATTGTACATGAGTTACCAGGTCTACAGTTCATATATTATCATGGTACTTACACCTAAAAATCTGGGTGTGTTTCGGTAACTTTTTTCATAACTTTTTTGATGTTTTTGCGTAACTTATCACGCCTATAGCGGGTCAAGGTGGGCCGTTTTTCTGGGTCAACCCACGAGCACATGTGCCTCCTCATGACACTAAACATTATGTGGCTTTTCTGTGGCACATCATGTGTTGTGTTCATCTAAAAGGCCTCGCGAGGCGAGCGTATGTTTTTAACAACTTGTTTTCCTTTGGTAAAACATTACCATCATGTTTATATTGTAACTTATCGGTTATGCGGTGCTTATATTATCATGTTATTCACACAAAAATTATCGGGGATGTTTTGAACAACTTTTCCCCGGGACAAAAGGTTATCATGTTGATTCTAGGTAACCTATCAAGCCCGCGGTGCTTAAAATATCATGCTATTTACACAAAATTTATCAAGAGTATGTTTCAGCAAAATTTCCCCCCACGGGTCAAAAACTTATCATGGTGTTTAGTTATCGTGGTGCATATGTTTTCATGCTATTTACACATAAAAATACCAGGGAAGGGAGGTATAGTACCGTGCTATTTACACAGAAGATACCGGAGTATCTTTTCAAAAAAAAAATCCTTATGGTCAAAGTTAACATGGTGTTTCTACCTCAGTTATCAGATGTGCGCTGCGTATATTACCATCTATTTACACATAAATTATCTGGTATATTTTCACATTTTTCTTCCCAAATGGTTAAAGTTACCACGATGTTTGTATCTAAATTATCAGGTCTATGGCGTGAATGTTATCGTGCTATTTATATAAATTACCCGGGGCCGGGGTTCAACAAATTTCTTCCCAATGATCAAAGTTACCATGATGCTTTCACCAAAGTTATCACGCCTTCAATGCTTATGACCATGCTACTTACACATAATGTACCGTGTGGTATACAAAAGTTATCATGTTGGTGGTGTGTCATTTATCGTGGTGGTGATGGAGAATTTACCACGGGAAAAGTTTATGTGTCAGGTTTGATAGGTGAAAAAAAGTTTTTCAGTGATAAAATATTAAAGGCAAAACATGTCAAAAACAATATTTTCCTTAGCTTGTTCAACAATGAGTGTCATGGGTGAGATGGTTGGCTCCCTTTGTTGATTACCTGTAGACCAGAGATCAAATCCCATTTAAAGCATTGTTTTTGCCTAAAAATCTGAAAGGCGCGTGGGGCCGTAACTGGTGGTTGAAAGAAAGGAAATCAGGAGGGCGGGAAAGGAAGGAGATCAAGAGGACGTGCGGGAATGGAAGAAGATCGCGAGGAAAGGAAAGAGATAGCGAGGACGTGCGGGAAAGGAAGGAGATCGGGAGGGTGTGGCAGTTTTGCAATCTGCCACACGGTTGCCACTTACATATTTCGAAAACAAAAAATGAAATTGCTTTCATTGAGAGTTGAACTCAAGACCTCCCGCTTACTAAACGGGTGCTCTAACCAACTGAGCTATGAAAGCTTTTGCAACGAAATTAATTATTTACGTACACATTGTCTAAATTATGTTGTCACCGGACGACGGCTTCTTTTTCCTGTCACAGTGGGCCATACGAGGATCTGTCGCCTCTGCAGAATTTTGTTTCATGACTAAAGCCAGTTAACTTTACGGGGAACACTTCTTAAAAGAAAAAAACTGTGCTGCGTGCACCACTTCTAAGATCTCAAATATGACGATTTTATGACTCTGTTGCCAAGCTGTGCCTACCTTCTAATGGCTGTTTATTTTCCTTATGCAAAATGTGAACTGTGTTAACTGTTAAGTACTATGCCATAAAATCGCTTAACCACAAGGTAATCGGATGGCTGTTTATTTTCTGTCAACTGTGTTTATTCTTGCATTGTGCTCAGTAATCCATAACTTACGAACGGGCAATCTAGTCCAGACCAGTTCATAGCCGTGGTTGGTTAATCATTCATAACAAACGCGAACACAACGTATTGACAGGAAAATATAAACTCCACAACCAGTATATTGTTCACGATGCCATCAGAGTCGAAAATAGTTTAATAATTGCAAAAACATACCGTAAACCTTTACCCTGGAGCATGCTAGTACAACAGACGGAACACAGGCACAAAAACATGGCGCCTTGCTTTCAGGTTATGATACAGGTTTGCTTATTTATCGGCTAGTCGAGCAAAACAGGGGAAATGGCAGGTCCAATTTAATGGCAAGAGGAAATCAACGGTAAAGGGCCTCAGACTTCAAGTTCTCAGCAATCTCGGTCTCCCAGCGGTCGCCGTTCTCGAGCAGTTTCTCCTTGTCGTACAGCAGCTCCTGCACCATGGCAGAGAACGTTGTGTGTTATGATTCCCGGGGAATGTGTGGAAATAACATCATACGATAGAATCAACTGGATAGTTTACCTCGTGAGTTTCAGTAGAGAACTCAAAGTTAGGGCCTTCGACAATAGCATCGACAGGGCAAGCTTCCTGGCAGAACCCGCAGTAGATGCATTTGGTCATGTCAATATCGTATCTGCAAAACAGATAAAATATGAATCGTCAGAATGGAGCTTGATTGCAGATTAAGAGCAGTAGATCAAAGTGGCATACTTAACAGTTAACATGGTTCACAGAAAATAAACAGCCATTCGATTACCTTGTGGTTCGGCGACTGCCATCTTCACGTTCTTCTGCCTCAATAGTAATTGCCTGGGCTGGGCATATCTGACCACATGTGAAGCCATGTGAGAAAAGGCATACTTATGCATCAATAACTACCACTTCAACTAGTATGAGAAACATCCAACATTCAAGCATCTTAAGCCAATCACACAGTTTTGCACTACTATACATGAGAATTTTCAGTAACTTTTGAAACTAATCAAAGGCCAAGACTTCAATAACTAAGATTGGCGAGAATGTTACAGACTTACACGGTACAGCAAGCTACTTCCAGAAACTATCAGTGTTCAACAGAGTTTACAGTAAATCTAGCACGGTAGTACTGGACACATGGCGCCATGGGGGGCTCATGAATTTTAGCTTTGTGTGTTCAATTGCAAAATATTATTAAATCTAGATACGATGATTCTTAAATCTAGATACAACACTCTCCCCAGGAGAAGATGTCTTAAGCTTTGCTCTAGCCTACAACATGATTGTAGCTAACACCCTCTTTAGAAAGAGAGAATCACATCTGGTGACTTTTAGTAGTGGCCAACACTCTAGCCAGATTGATTTCATCCTCTCGAGAAGAGAAGATAGGCGTGCGTGCCTAGACTGTAAGGTGATACCTGGGGAGAGTGTTGTACCCCAGCATAAGCTGGTGGTTGCTGACTTCCGCTTTCGGATTCGTGTCCAGCGGGATAAGCGTGCCAAGGTCGCTAGAACGAAGTGGTGGAAGCTCAAGGGGGAGGTAGCTCAGGTGTTCAAGGAGAGGGTATTTAAGGAGGGCCCTTGGGAGGAAGGAGGGGATGCGGACAATGTGTGGATGAAGATGGCGACTTGCATTCGTAAGGTGGCCTCGGAGGAGTTTGGAGTGTCCAGGGGAAGGAGAAGCGAAGATAAGGATACCTGGTGGTGGAATGATGATGTCCAGAAGGCGCTTAAAGAGAAGAAAGATTGCTTCAGACGCCTATACCTGGATAGGAGTGCAGACAACATAGAGAAGTACAAGATGGCGAAGAAGGCCGCAAAGCGAGCTGTTGGTGAAGCAAGGGGTCGGGCATATGAGGACCTCTACCAACGGTTAGGCACGAAGGAAGGTGAAAGGGACATCTATAAGATGGCTAAGATCCGGGAGAGGAAGACGAGGGATATTGGCCAAGTCAAATGCATCAAGGACGGAGCAGGCCAACTCTTGGTGAAGGACGAAGAGATTAAGCATAGATGGCGGGAGTACTTCGACAAGCTGTTCAACGGGGAGAATGAGAGTTCTACCATTGAACTGAATGACTCCTTTGATGAGACCAGCATGCGTTTTGTGCGGCGCATCCAGGAGTCTGAGGTGAAGGAGGCTTTAAAAAGGATGAAAGGAGGCAAGGCGATGGGCCCTGATTGTATCCCCATTGAGGTGTGGAAAGGTCTCGGGGACATAGCGATAGTATGGCTAACCAAGCTTTTCAACCTCATTTTTCGGGCAAACAAGATGCCAGAAGAATGGAGACGGAGTATATTAGTACCAATCTTCAAGAACAAGGGGGATGTTCAGAGTTGTACTAATTACCGTGGAATTAAGCTGATGAGCCATACAATGAAGCTATGGGAGAGAGTCATTGAGCACCGCTTAAGAAGAATGACAAGCGTGACCAAAAATCAGTTTGGTTTCATGCCTGGGAGGTCGACCATGGAAGCCATTTTCTTGGTACGACAACTTATGGAGAGATATAGGGAGCATAAGAAGGACTTGCATATGGTGTTCATTGACTTGGAGAAGGCCTATGATAAGATACTGCGGAATGTCATGTGGTGGGCCTTGGAGAAACACAAAGTCCCAGCAAAGTACATTACCCTCATCAAGGACATGTACAATAATGTTGTAACAAGTGTTCGAACAAGTGATGTCGACACCGATGACTTCCCGATTAAGATAGGACTGCATCAGGGGTCAGCTTTGAGCCCTTATCTTTTTGCATTGGTGATGGATGAGGTCACAAGGGGTATACAAGGAGATATCCCATGGTGTATGCTCTTTGCGGATGATGTGGTGCTAGTTGACGATAGTCGGACGGGGGTAAATAGGAAGTTAGAGTTATGGAGACAAACCTTGGAATCGAAAGGGTTTAGGCTTAGTAGAACTAAAACCGAGTACATGATGTGCGGTTTCAGTACTACTAGCTGTGAGGAGGAGGAGGTTAGCCTTGATGGCCAGGTGGTACCTCGGAAGGACACCTTTCGGTATTTGGGGTCAATGTTGCAGGAGGATGGGGGTATTGATGAAGATGTGAACCATCGAATCAAAGCCGGATGGATGAAGTGGCGCCAAGCTTCTGGCATTCTCTGTGACAAGAGAGTGCCACAAAAGCTAAAAGGCAAGTTCTACAGGACGGCGGTTCGACCCGCAATGTTGTATGGCGCGGAGTGTTGGCCGACTAAAAGGCGACATGTTCAACAGTTAGGTGTGGCGGAGATGCGTATGTTGAGATGGATGTGTGGCCACACGAGGAAGAATCGAGTCCGGAATGATGATATACGAGATAGAGTTGGGGTAGCACCAATTGAGGAGAAGCTTGTCCAACATCGTTTGAGATGGTTTGGGCATATTCAGCGCAGGCCTCCAGAAGCTCCAGTGCATAGCGGACGGCTAAAGCGTGCGGAGAATGTCAAGAGAGGGCGGGGTCGACCGATTTTGACATGGGAGGAGTCCGTTAAGAGAGACCTGAAGGATTGGAGTATCGACAAAGAGCTAGCTATGGACAGGGGTGCGTGGAAGCTTGCTATCCATGTGCCAGAGCCATGAGTTGGTTGCGAGATCTTATGGGTTTCACCTCTAGCCTACCCCAACTTGTTTGGGACTAAAGGCTTTGTCGTTGTTGTTGACTAGATACGATGATTCTTCAAGAGCTTCTCAAACCCCATATGTGCACCAGTTCCATACACCATACTCCCTCCGTCCGTAAAGGCTTGTCCCTCAAATGGATGTATCTAGCACTAACTTGGTGCTAGAAACATCAATTTGAGGGACAAGCTTTTTTGGACGGAGGGAGTACTAGATTGAAGAAGCATGTGGCCTAAGAAATTTGAGCTGCAAATATTTTTTAAATAAAAGCACCAATAAGCAGAAAGCTGTAATGCTCTTGCTGCCAGTGATTCAGAGCTCAAAGTTCTAACTGCTAACACCGTACACAATCTTACTGACTCAAGAGGTTTGCACCATCAGTGTTTCAACCCTGGAGTTGTGGACTCTTTTAGGACAGGTTCCCAGTCAGTAACCAGCAATTTTCTTGGTGGTTTTGACTTGTCCGTTACCCTCAAAGAATGACCGACATCTGTCTGATTCACGGCCATAATTATGCCATCAATTGTACTTCGAATTGCAATTTAGATTTTAAATTAAATGTTTCCAGGCCACGATTTGTTCTCCTTGTACCCACGGGAAAAAGTGATCAATCCCAGGAACTGAAACCCTTCATACAATGGCCAGACTATTCTGAATACTCACAGAACATCAATCTTAATGCTTTACTCCACAAGCACTAACAACTACGATGACTACCACAAACAAGAACAAAACCATCATGTATTGTAAATAACTTCAAGCAAGTAAGGGATCAAACTTTTCTTAAAAACTTTAATCAATTTCAGTCAGATATACTTGAAAGAAACCAATTTTGCAAAGTAAATAATGGGAAAGAGAAGATGACCCTAAGAACTCATAATTTAATATGGAAAACATGGCATCACTGTTACAACATTGCGTTGAGAAGTATTACTGGTGCAAACACCAAATTTTCATATAAGCATGGCCTGCTATTACTATGGACCGTTTAGAACTCAATTTCATTCGGCAGAAGATAAATTCATATGGTTTGCTAACTAATCCACTACTATTGCGAGATTTAAGAGAACACAACTTACAGCTTCACAGAGTTTACAGGCAATGCAACGCTCTTCCCCAGTATCATAACGTCTGAGAGCATGCTCCCCTCGGAAACGGGGGCTCAAAGGGCCCTTCTCAAATGGATAGTTAATCTACAAGGAGTCAAGATAAAAGAACAGTCAACAGAAGCAAGCACGACAATAAGACTAATAGCATGTGTGAAATTCGCCACTTAACTGTAACTTTCCTCTCGAAGAAGTACTTGAGCGTCAGCATCAAACCACGGACCATTTCAGTCAAAAACAATGTATTGATACTCCTTTCAAACACTGAAGAAAGAGCATTAAAATGAGAGGTGAAGCAGTATCCTAACAGCAACAAGGAAAATAGCCAACATACAATTGTATGCCCATATAAAAAACATATACTCACCAGCACTCCAATCTTTGGCGAGCTCTTTCGCAAGCTGTTCTTTCTCCTCGTCCTCTGATCATTAAAGAGGGCAGCGCTTTCAGAGAACAGTAGCATCGCACAAATTTAAATTCAAGATGCAACTATGCACACACAAAATCATAGCATGGAATTAGTGTTCGAAAGAATAAGGCCAATTAGAATTCGATACTATAGTCCATCATCATCAGCAAATGGCTTTAAGTTGTAAAGAACAGGTTCTCCTAAAACCAACGGGAGGCAGCATGGCACAATTTTTGACCATTTCATACTGGGTGTCAGGCATCAGTGTGCAACTAACTAATACTCTATAACCGAAGATCTGTTCCAAAGAGTTTCAGGTACAACCCTAATTCCTCGCTCACACGCTACCGTATGCACCACAAGATATAGAAAATCAATCACTTTGAACACACGAAATGCATGGAAATGGTAAGGTAGAACCGACATAGCCCGAACCACATTTCCGAAATAATCATAATACCAAAAGCTCAGGAAGAGGGGAGAGGGTGGATACCTTTGAACCTCTTGGGCGCCCCCGCGTCCATGTAGGTCCGGAGGTGGCCCTGCATCGCCGTCGCGGACGGGCCGAGACGCGCCTGAAACACCGGCAAACCACGAATCAGGCGCAAGTCACAGCAAACAGGAGTGCGGGGCGGCGTGCCTCGATCTGAAAGCCGGAGGGCGGACGGCGGAGATCTAGGAGGGCGACGGCGGGCAGGGGAGGCGGGGGAGGGGTAGAAGGGCTGCTCACCGTCTGCCTAGCGCGGAGGGCCATCGCTGCCTGCCGGGCTAGGAGCGCCGCCATGGTGGCGTCGTCGGCGACGAGGAGACGGTGGATTCGGATCGAAAGGGGGTTGAGGTGGGCTGTGCACTGTGGTCTCTAGTTAGTGGCTGGGGGATGTCCGGGTGTGTGGAGAAACAGGAACTTACACAGGTGGGCTAGGCTGGGCTGGGCTGGGAAGTGCAGCACCGCCCAGAAGACAGGGGGGCCTTCCGTGTGTTCAAGGCAGGTATAGAAGTGCCCCGTGCCCATCCAAAACGTTCGAGATCGATTGCCTGTTTTTTTTCCTTCTCGCTCGCGAGTTAGGGTTTCTTCTCCCTGGGGCGATCTCTTCGTCGCCATCGAATTCGTTCACCTTCCCTCCCTTGGCAGTGCCATCGGGGCTGATTCGGGCTGATTACGGGGTGGTTCTGGACCATCACCCGGCCTTGGTTGGACCTGACTGGTTACGGGCAGGGAACTAGGGTTCGTTTACAATGCTCGATCGGATCTCCTTCAGGTTAGGGTTTCAAGAGGATGGCAGAGGAAGGCGCGTCAGCGGCTGCAAGACGCGTCGCAGGCCCCTCTGTCGAGTTGGAGAAGATGATGGCAAAGCTGGGCCTTCGCGATGAGGACTTGGACGACGTCGTCTATGATGAGGAAGCTGCACCGCCGAAGGCGGCTCGGTGGAGCGCCGTGACGCGGGTGCACATAGACAAGGAATATAGCCAATTTTGGCTCTTCAAGAACATGCGAGCGGCATGGGATCTCGCTCAGAACTGCAAGTTTCATCCCTTAGAGGATAATCTCTACACAATACAGTTCTTTTGCTTAGGGGATTGGGAACACGTCATGCAGGACAGCCCGTGGAACTTCCGTGGTCACACGATGATCCTTACGCCCTATGATGGAATCACCCAACCCTCCAAAGTAGCGCTGGACACACTTGATATTTGGGTGCAGATTCATGATGTCCTAGACAAGTACGCCCATCTAGTTCCAGCCTTGGCAGGGAAAGTTGGGGAAGTTCTGTTCGTGGAATCGCAGTCTCAAGACTTCGCCGGCAACTTCTACCGAGTCTGGGTTAAGATCAATGTCTTCAAACCACTCAAGAATGCGGTGTCGATGATTCGCGATGGCAATCGTCAGATATAAAGGGTGAAGTATGAGAAACTTCCTGATTGGTGCGCCGTTTGTGGGCGTCTAGGCCATGTTTTCAAAGAGCACAGTGATGGAGTTCATGCACCAGATGCGCTCTTCTTCAAAGACCTGCGGGCTTCCTGGACCATGAGGACGGGGACTGGCCCCGGGGGAGGCCGAGGTCGCCGCGGTGGGCAGGGAGGAGGCCGAGGGCTCCGGGTTATGATGATCCTGTTGACACTGCTAGCCGTGTGATTGTGGACACTGATATGATGGAGGGTAACAGGAAGCGTCGGGAGAGAGCAAGTCAAAGTGAACAACAATCTGTTGGAGGATCCATAAACAGTCAACTTGCAATCATTCCAGCTGAACTAAATGCAATGAGTCCTCCACCAAAGAGAGAATCAAAAAGGGCAAAGGCGGCTGATGGCAATGAGGGAGTTAGGGCGTGTTCTGATCTCCTCCAACTTCACAAATCCAGCTTCCCTAACCAGCTTCTTGCTTCACACAGTGATTCGCAAGTGTTCGACGCCGAGCGTAGCTTCTCGCGTCGCTAAAGCCAAGCTAGGAGGTTGTTGGGCCTAGTTGGGTGCCAGTTTGGGCCGTTGGAGGTAGCCTAGAGAGCCTTTGTACCTATTCGATCGAGAGAATGACCAGCGATATGTCTGGGCAACGTACCGATTCGATTACCTTCACTTGGTGGTGGCACTTCCAATGTAATATTGGCTAACTTCAGCTTTTCGTATCGGTGGAGCTGGGCCGACCCTGCTTCACGTTTTGTACTACGCTTGATGGTAGCTTCCTGAAGCTAGCTTCTCGGTCATATTTCGTTTGGCATGAATCCGCTCCAATATTTGTGAAGCGTGGAGTGAGAGGAGATCAGAACATGCCCTTACTAATGCAGCAAAACCAAATAAGACGGGCTCCGGCGAGGAGCGCCGCCGAGCCCAATGAGTATCTTATGTTGGAACTGTCATGGTGCTGGCAAACCCGCGGCGGTTCGAGAGCTTCGCGATATGGTGAGGCAGTTTGCCCCTCTATAATATGCATTGTTGAAACTCAAATAGAGGGTGAGAGAGTTGAAAAGCTTGTTGATACTTTAGGCTTTAATAAGAGTTTTGCTATTAGTAGTTCTGGTAGAAGTGGTGGTATTGGGATTTTCTGGAATGATTCAATAAAGCTTGAGATAATTGGTTACTCTGAGTATCATGCCGATGTTGAGGTTGACTCCTTTAATGGTACCAAGGCCAGGTTCACCTTCATCTATGGAGAAGCTCAGGTTAGCAAGCGGTACAAAACTTGGAACATGCTTAGGGGCATTGCGAGCTCGAGCCAGCTGCCCTGGGCTGCTCTAGGCGACTTCAATGAAGTGTTGCATGCCTATGAACATGATGGAGTAGGAAGTAGAAGCCAGGCTCAGATGGACGCCTTCCAAGACGCCCTAGATACTTGTGGTTTAGCAGATATCGGCTACCATGGGAGTACGTGGACCTTTGAGAAGAAGGTCGCCAGTGGCACTTTCACGCGTGTAAGAATGGATAGGTGTGTCGCCACACCGGCATGGTCACTAGCGTTTCCCGCAGCAAAGCTTGAGCATAAAAATTCAGCGTCATCCGACCATGCAGCGATCCTACTCTCGTTATCTAATGTGCATACACAAAAGAAGGGGCCACATACGTTTAAATATGAGCTGATGTGGGAGCGGCACCCACAGTTCATTAACTTCGTTTCAGAGGACTGGAGCAAAACACAGGCCAACTCAGTGGCAGATTTGCATGAAAAGTTGAATGGGCTATCACACGGCTTGCATCACTGGGACCACACTTAGTTCAGTTCTCTTCTTGGCGAGATAAAAAAGCTCAAGGGATAGCTAGATGTGCTGCGGGCGCAAATGGGGAGGATCGGCCCTTCCCATGTGGAGATCAAAATTTCAGACTGCCTAGTAGAGTTATATCATCGGGAGGAGATTCTTTGGCGACAGAGAGCAAGGCTAGAATGGTTGGCTCATGGAGACAAGAATACTTATTTTTTTCATCTCAGAGCTAGTCGGAGAAGAAGAAAGAACCAAATAAAAGCATTGCAAGGCCCGGATGGTAGTTTAACCGAGGGTGCAAATGAGATGGCCAATCTTACCAGCGTGTTCTATGAAAACCTCTAAACTTCCGAGGGAGTACAGAATATGGAGACAGTCCTTGATACAGTGCCATGCAAGGTAACGCCCGAGATGAATATCCAGTTAAATGCTCCATACACACAGCAGGAAGTGAAGGAGGCTCTTTTCCAAATGTTCCCTATAAAAGCCCCGGGGCCGGACGGGTTCCCCGCCCATTTTTTCCAATGTCATTGGGATGTGTGCGGTGATGAGGTAACAAAGGTGGTGCTTCGAATAGTTGAAGGGACGGAGTCTGCGGAATGTATTAACGAGACTATCCTAGTTCTCATCCCCAAGGTAAAAAGCCCAACGCAGTTAACTCAATTCCGGCCTATATCCCTCTGCAACGTCCTTTACAAAATTGCATCCAAGGTGATTGCAAACCGTCTCAAGCTGATATTGCCCGACATAATTTATGTAGAACAGTCCGCCTTTGTTCCTGGAAGGTTGATTACTGACAACATAATTCCAGCTTATGAGTGTCTCCATTTTATGAAAAGGAATAGGGCAAATAAACACCAACACCGCACACTGAAATTGGATATGATGAAGGCCTATGATAGGGTGGAGTGGTCATATTTACAAGCCATCCTGCTAAAGTTGGGATTCACTCAGAGATGGGTTGAGATAGTTATGGGCATGGTAACGTCGGTCAAATTTTCAGTCATGTTCAATGATAGTAAACTGCAACAATTCAATCCTTCACGAGGGATCCGGAAGGGGGATCCAATCTCCCCATACTTGTTCTTGCTAGCAGCAGAGGGCCTTTCGTGCCTTTTAAAATCAAATGAGTCATCTAAACTCCTTGGTCTACAAGTGGCACCTTCAGCGCCACTGGTAAGTCATTTATTATTTGCAGATGACAGCCTGCTGTTTTTCAAGGCCAATACTATGGGTGCAGATGAGGTCAACCAATTGTTGGATCATTATTGTCAAGCAACGGATCAGAGAATTAACTATGATAAATCTTCCATATTTTTCAGCAAGGGTGTTCCTGAAAGTTTTGAGCGGAGGTCAAAGGGTTGCTCCATGTACCAAACGAGACTCTGAATGAGAAATACTTGGGCATGCCATCTGATGTGGGTCAGTCAAAGAATGGAGCCTTTAAATTCTTGAAAGATCATTTATGGAATAAAATACAAGCTTGGATAGAGAAGACTTTGTCTACTGCGGGGAAGGAGGTCTTAGTCAAACCAGTGGCCCAAGCAGTTCCTGTCTTCTCTATGTCTTGTTTCAAGGTCCCAAGAGGGCTATGCGAACATCTCAACATGCTCATACAGAAGTTTTGGTGGGCTCAAAGGATGGCCGTCGGAAGCCCCATTGGGTCTCGTGGAAGGATATGACATAACCTAAATCAATGGGAGGGCTAGGCTTTAAGGACTTTGAGTTATTCAATCTGGCAATGCTTGCGAAGCAGGGGTGGCGACTCCTCCAATAACCAGAGACTCTCAGTGCGCGGATCCAGAAGGTCGTGTATTATCCTACAATATCTATATTGTAGGCAACCATTGGGTCCCATCCTAGCCAAATTTGGAGGGCGATCATCGAGGGGGTCGAAATTCTCAAACAGGGAATCATCATGAGGATAGGAAATGGAACTACAACAAATGTTTGGGTGGATAATTGGATTCCTAGGAATGAGATGTTGCGCCCCTACGGAAGTAGGACGATGAACCCACCGAGGCTTGCGGCAGATTTCATCGACCACACCTTGGGAAAGTGGAATAGACAGATTTGTTGGGGAACGTAGTAA